ATCAGCCCTCTCCACTCCAGATGTGCTTTTTGAGTTTCTCAGCTAATTTTTCATCCTGAGGGGGCATCTGCCTTTTTTCAGCATCTGCTCATCATTCATTGAAGTAGATGCATGGGAAGCCACCATTCTGTGTGCTGGGAGAAGCTGAATTTTCATCTGACCTGGGAGGAGAAGCATGTTTTTGGAGTGGGTAGGAGCTGGACTGATTTAGCATGACACATATGCTGTGGAGGGAAACATGTGTTCCATGCTTTTGTCTGGGTCACAGGTTAGAGGGTGGTTGTAACAGAGCTGGAGGCTTTGTGAAAAGAAAAGCCCAATCCTTTTCCCTTTTCCTTTTTCTCCTTTCCTTTCCTTTTTTTTTTTTTTTTTTTTTTTTTTTGAGGAGGGGAGAGTGCAGAATATTACAGGAGATTCATTACACATTGTAGCTTGTCATTGCTCCTATCAGTGAAGTCCAGATGAAGGATAGGCCAGAGAAAGTGATCAATGCAGAAGATTGTTGTTACTAAGAAAAGCAAACGCACAATGCTAGTGAAAGCGTGTCTTTGATCAGTGTTTCATACTTTTCACAGAGAGAAGCCTAGGGGCAGTGTTCCTGCAGGCAGTGCTAGGGAGGAGAAGCAGCCTTTGTATAGCTGTGAGATGACCTTCTCTATGAAAAGAGGTATCCAGCTATTGAGAAGAACTACCTGCTGTCCATGGGCTGTCAAGAAGCTGCAGCCATGTGGGAGTCATCTAACTGTGTACATGTGTGAACCCCTTGCTGCTCACTGTGCCGATCCAACAGAGGATTGTGATGCCAAACTCTTGCAACAGAGCTTGCTGCTTCAAGCTTCTGATCTAGAAGAAATTCACAGTAGAAGAGCATGAATGCTGGCCCTGATGCTTTAGTCTGGCCCACCCCTACCAAGTGGGTTGCACTAATTCCTTGCAGTTCATTGACCTAGTTGGGGGAGATGTATCTTTTCAACAGTCATTGTGGAAATCGGTTTCCTGTTGCATGCTAGGCTTGTACAAGCTACTGTCCGTCAATGCCCGGTGGACTATGGGAGAGGGGTTTTAGCTTTGAAGTGCATTAGGCACTTCACTGTCTCTTCTAGTTAATGCACATTGTCTTTGAGGCATGTAGCAGCTGAGCTTCAGCTATGTTCATAAAGTGCATCTAAACTAATGTAGTTGGACCGCTGGATCTATTTTGCTAGCTTAAATTGAATAAGCAGAGGCATAATCAGACAAGGGGAACCTATGTGGAAAAAGATAATATCGACCTGGGCTTTGTTGTTTGCAATGACTGTTCTTTCAATACCACATTAGAAGTTTTGGCTTGTCCATATTCACAACACAGTGCAGCCGCAGCCCCTAAGTAATCTTGTGTTGACTCGAGTGCAAATAATCTTATGTTTTGCAGGTTGACAAAATCCGTATCAAATGTCATGTCTTATATCAAATAATTCTCCTAAATAACTTATTTAAAACGCCTACAATTAGTATTTATTTGTAGAGACACAGTATACCTTATAACGGCTTGGTCTGACTAGCAGCTAATCAAGGATAACCAGATTCCTGCTTCTCAATTCACATGGCCAGGCATTGATGCCATGTGGCACTTGGCCACGGCACTTTCGACCTTGGAAGGCAGCATGGCTCTCTCCCAGAAAGGCAGAACATACAATATTATTTATACATGTCTTTATAATGCAATCAAGTTTATCTTTGATGAACTTCGAGTCTCTTAGTGGTATTTTCTGCAATAAGTGGTTTATATTTAAAATATAAGGAACATTGTTGTTAAACACAATGTCACTTTGTTTATCAGTTAAGTATTATTTTTTTCTACTTTAGGTTATATGCTTTACTTGTTTTTGTGGTTTAAATTCAGTTTGAAACCTTCAGGGACACAGTAATTGTGGACTCCCCATAGCAACTCTAGTGGGGAGCATCAGAGAGCAGGTAGTCGAATGAAATCAAGTGTCATGGTATACTTCTCCTTATGAGGCATACAGCCACTCCTAACACATTTCTTGCATCCCTCCCTTATTTTTTTCTTTCCTTTATGTCAGTTTATGGGCCAAAAAGGCAGACAAAACACCAGCTCTCACTTCATGTGTAACACAGGCCTTGGAATTTTACCCAGTGTCTCTTTTAACTGATGCCATTAACTTTTTTTAAAAATTATTATTGAAGGACAGCTTGAAAAAAGTAACGTGGCCTTTATTTGGAGACCTTGAGAGATAGTCTACCATTTTTATTGACAGATGGCTAAGACAATCATCCTCATTGTTGAGTATATTATGTCTTATTCTACTCTGAACATGCCTAAATATAACTTGCAGCTGTTGATTCTCATTGTGCCTTTCTCTGCAAGGTATGGTGCCACCAGTACTCTGTGTTTTCTGTGGTGTAATTGAGAGATACTGGTTTAGTAAGACCAGAGTAATGTTTCAAAGTGCCCCCTGTAAGGCGTTTTCTGACCTTCCCAATTAGGACCAATTAGTCCTGTCATTTTGCTCTGGACCACCTCCAAGCTTACAGCATATTAAAACACCTGCACTGCTGGCGGGTGTTGCAGCTTCAGGCTCTGCTGGGCTTCCGACTCGGCGTTGTCAGTCACAGGTGACAGTGACTTCTCCAGTGGTCGCCAATGAGGCTCCTGCTCTTGGCATCTTGTCCTTCCTCCCTGGCTGCACGGGAGCCAGCTATCACACACCCACCAATTATTTGGGGGTGTCTTTGAATACAGCAGGCAGTACAAAAAGCTTCTGTGAGTCATGCTCCAGAGTAGCAGCTTCTGGGAGCGAGGGACCTGTATTGACACCGAGGGCCCCTTGGAGTTCCCCTTCCCAAGTCCCAGGTGGTTCCCCCTCTGCGCGGGGCTCAGCCTGCCAGCTCGCTGGCCGTAGAGCCACGCAGTAGGCTTGACTCCACAGAGCGGTGTGGGAGGTGCACAGACAGAGGACAACTGCTGGAACTAAAAATACTTGTTTATTGGTAACGCATCAAAAATGAGGAGGAAATGATACAAGCAAAAACTGCTTCCACCAGCAGTTACATTCTGCCTGTGGTCACTCCTACGTGTTCCCACAGGTCAGGCAACTGATAGGGATTCACGGATCAACAGCATTGAGACAGTGTGGTGGTCCAGTACCTGAGGAGACTCCACTGGCATTACTGAGCATCTTACCTTGTTTATGTTCAGCTGGCCAGGTGGCTTGTGTTGATCTGAAGGATGCCCTCTGCTTTAGCTACTGTCTAGCTACTACTACTATCAACAATATTTTTTACAATTGTATCTCCTGACGCAAATATTAAACGGCACAGTTCTTGCAGAGAGGCACACTTTCAACGGCGATTGCTGCTTCTTTTTGGACAACGAATTTTGGCCATTTGTCTGATAGCTAGTAATTAATCCATATAATGCAAGTTATGATGTATACATACACTATTATTTTTTCTTCAAAATGTACAAATTTCTTGGTTTGTTAAATTGATACTAGTGCTTTATCAACTATATGTATTATTTTGTCAAAGAATGAAGTCAGGTTTGTTTCTCACAACTTTTTTTTTTTAAATCATACTAAATTATTAACTTTATTTTCCTTGTTGAGGCCTTTGTTAGCTAACTTGTAATAACTTCACACTCTCCTACCTATGATTATTACTATGGAACCACCTAACAGTCATTGATGTCATCTTGCTTTCTCTCTGTGAACACTGGCACAACACGACCTTGGGATTTCTCTAGTATGCCAGGATTTTTAAATACCTAACTCCATTGGGCCAGGTGCCTCCTCAGCCAAATATTTTATGATTCTGAGATGCAAATTTTAATGGCTACTGATCTGAAAATACTTAAGACTTAGTAGATGCTGTTAAAACCTTCCTTAGTTCACAAATAGATCAGGAAGTTGTTTACCAACCTCATGTAGTATGAATACACAATTCTGCTTCTTTCTGTATACAACCAACTATCTTCTCTGTATCAAAAAGCCTTCATCAAAAATTCTATTAACAGTTTTACCTATATACACCCAGGATGAGCCTAGGCCATTGCTAGCGTTTCTTGGTTTTCAATGTATTTTGAAAAAACTCCTTCCAAGTGCCATTAGCACTTGCAGCAATCCAGTTTTTCCAGATTATTTTGAACACTCCTTATCATCTTGTATGCTTCATAAATTCTTACTTTTATTGTGTGCCATATACCTCCCTTCCATCCACACCTTCCTTCTGCTTTTTTTCCCCCTGGTTGGTTATATACAAGATTTCTAAGTGTTAACTTCAAATTCCCTGTTACGCAGGAAAAGCGTTTAATTGTGTCTGTCTTTTTCACAACTCCATCTTGTAAACTTCTAGCAGTGAAATTTCTATTAAAAATTTTATTGTAGCTTTCTCCTGGAGAGTCATATTTTTCTGACTGCTTGATTTGCGATAAGCTTAACCCATAACTTCCTCTGTTTGAGGATTTACCATTTTGAAGGACTAATTTTGCCTACATAGTTGCCCAACTTCACAGTTAAAACACATACATACACAAATATCTTAAACACCTGCCTCATAGGCATTAACCAAGTGTACCTATACACATCTACAGATACATACCTACATACATGTGTAAATGTTGTATACCTACTTACATGTACACATACATACATGTATCTGCATACACGCATACATATATACAGTCATACAACCACTCATCTATATACAATTTAATTTTCCCTGAAACTGGAGAAGAGGCATTTCTAAAAATGTATGCATGTTGCCTGTAATGCAGCATCCCAGCAAAGAGCTGAGGCTGTCGATGTTGCCCTCCCAAGATGAAGACATGTTCTTCTGTGAATCCACCTCTGAACAGTCACTCAGCTGCGCCACCAAGGGCAGCCCTACCCCTCCCATACTGACCAATAGCTCTGTTAATATTTGGACCAGGCTGGCTCTCCTGAGCAGGATATGTCAAGGGATGGGAGACAAAGGACTGCAGGTGGGTAACAGGGTTTCCTCTATTCTGAAGCCCTTAGAAGTTGCTCAGACTTTGGCTTAGCTGAAAAGGAGAGAGAAAAAAAAAAGAAGTAAGATGCAGGAAGACCAAAGCAGTGCAAAATATCACCTCATGCTGCATTCCACCAGAAATGAGTCTCCAGCTCATCCACTCCCCACCTCTCCCTCCAGGATCCTGGGATATCCTGACCTCCATCTCTCCTGAGCGGGGTGCAGGGGAGAGGAAGATGCTCCTTGCTGCATCTCGCCCATGAGGGAAGTAGCTCAGCATTTTAAACTCCTACCTGCTCTTCTCCTGAGCACAATGAAGAGGACAACGATGAAAATGATGGTAGCAATGAAAGCTCCCACCAGTCCTTCTGATCCCGTTTGCTCTGCAGAGGAAGAGGAGGATCAGTGATGTTAGGTTGGCAGGAGCAGCTGAACAGCCAGCAAGTTGTCACAGTTAAATGAGCTCCCCCAGGAACTGACTGTGTGCATGCTCTTGTCAGGTACACAGATGTGACACGACACATGTGAACTAAAGCCACACAGACCCAGGGCCAGTTATACTGGTGGACTGATGTGTCCTAACTTGTTAAACTGCAGTTATTGCTTGCTTTTCCCTGCTGGGTCAGGAGGAGACACAAGAGCAATCTTCCATCAGCATGGAGAGTGAGAACCCCAACAGCTCCAGCAGGGAGAATGGTTTTTTTGCTATATTTCTCAAGCAGCATCAGTCTCCAGCTGAACATCAAGTCCAGCTGGGTGTCTATCTCCTTGGGGCATGGCTGTTTTCTTGTGCCTGTCCGGCAGGGTCCAGCCCATGTGCTACAAACTTTTGCTCTGTTGCTCCACTTTTGGTCATAAAATATCTTTTCCCTTGAAGGAAATGAGATACATGCCCCCAAAAGCTTCAGGGGGTGAAATAAAAGCTGAGGAAGTGAAAGGGAAAGGGAAGAGGAGGATAGAGAAGGTGGGTATGAGAGGACACCAGAAGGAAAGCATGGAGAAACAGGCAGAAGTGGTGTGACTGGGAGATTTTGATCCCTGTGGTGGGTAGATGAGGTGGGAGGAGGTCTGGGCGGGTTGAAGAACTTGCCCCTCTGCCCCTGTCACCTACCTGGTGCCTTAAGATGGGCGCTCACAGAGATGGGCTCTGCCAGGGCCACGTGTGAAACATGGCAGCTGAAGGTGGCTGGTGCCTGTGCTGTGGCTGAGCTGATGGTGAGGTAGGAGGTGATGCTGTAGGTGCCATTTTGGCTTTGCCGGTGGCTGGAGAAACGTGCATTTGAGAGAGGGATTTCTGTGTCATCCTCAGGAGTCTTCTGTGTCCAGCTCACCGAGACGTCCAGGGGGTAATAGCCAGCAATGTTGCAGGTCAGAGTAGTCGTCCCATCTTCCTCAAATGACACCACTGCTGGAATGATACGGACTCTTGGAGGCTCTGGAGGACATAAAGAGGGAATTGACTTATTGTTGGCAGAGCACAAAAGTCCCTGTCCACAAGGAAGAGAAGATGAGCTGCCTGTGACAGAGTGTTGGGAGTGATGGGGTAAGGGTGCAGGGCAAAGTTTCAGTGCCTGGGGACACAGGACTCCTGTTGCCCCCAGGCATTGCCCTTCCTCACCAGCCACATGCAGCTGGATGATGTGCTGGGCCTGGTGCAGTGGGGTGGACACCAAACAGATGTGTGTCCCTTCATCTTCCACGCTCACTCCTTGCAGGCTAAGCGATGCGTCTCCACTCCCCAGCAGTTCTGCCACATCCACGTGGACTTTTGGCTGCACTGTTGGGCCTGTGCTCCCCACCTGGTACTGGAAAAGGATACGGCCACTGCCTCGGTGCTGTCTCCTCCACTCCAGGGAGGAGAACGAAGAGCTGGGAGCCAAGGCAAAACGACAGTCAAGGGTGACCGAGCTGCCAAGATGCGTGCGCAGGGAAGTGTTGTGTGATGATGATTGAAATTCAACTAGAAACAGAAAGAAGGGCACAGGCAAGCAGAGAATTAAACAGATGTGGTTGAAGAAGGCACCCTCAGGTAGGAACTTCCCACCCAGAGGAGGAGGAGGCACAGGCACCCTATGTGATGCCCCAGGGCCCATGCGGACTGAAGAGCTGGAGGAAGCCAGCCTGGTGGGGTTAGCAGGGCAGGGAGACAGGTGGACACCAAGTACACATTATGGTCTTGAAGGTGCTTGTCATCCTCAGGGGCTGGGGCATGGGAACCCTTGAGAGGAGGCATGGCAGAGGCAATACGCATGACCACTTTTTCCCTAAGTACCAACTCCCGGCAGCCCTCAGGTCTTGGTGAGAGGTATGGGACTCCTGGGAAGGCAGGCTCCCCTCCCCTCGTGTCCCTCAGTGTTGTGGGGGCACCCTGGGCCACCTGGTCACCTGTGGTCAGCACCGTCTTCTCCTTGCTCATGGGAATCCTTAGCTTTGGGTGCAGTGTTGCATCGTGCTCCTCCTCCTTCTCCCGGCTGCCACAGTGGGGGCCTCTGAGAACCAGGGTGACACTGATCCCGCTGGAGACCCGCAGGGTGGCCATGAACCAGGAGGTATGGCAGAGCCCGTCGCCAGCCTGCTGGAAGTTGTATGGGGAGATCTCACAGTTCACCTCCTCCCCATCACAGTCTGCATGCAGCAGGGACTCTGCATGTGGGATGGATACCGACTGGGCTGTAGGGATAGAGGAAGAGGTTTAACCATCTGAATCCAAAAGGGAAAAGAAAGTGCAAGATGATAAGACACATTCTCTTGGAGAAGCACCATGTGCTGCAGGGGTCAGTCAGAGCCCAGAAATGCCAGGCTAGGCTTAACAGATGAAGGCAGGCAAAGAATATGAGACGTTTGTCATGACTGTCTTACATCCCTCAGCCTGTTGGCTGTATTTTATCTTGCTAGATTGCAGAGTTCACTCTGGGCAAAGGAAGCTGGCAGGAAAGGAGAATAAACAGGAGAGATTCCCTTTAGCTGTGTACGTGCTGTGTATGTGTATGCCCAGCAAGCTGTGCATGTGAAATGCCCAGTAAAGACTTGCCATGTTTATTTGGTTTGGGCCTGAATCCGGAAAGAAAGTGGACACCAAAGCATTCCAGGCAAGGAAAGAAAGGGTGACAAGAAGGCAGGAGTGGCTGGATGTACTGAATGCACACTCTATCTGTGTCTTTGATCACAGCATAGGCTTAAGTGTAGGTGTAAGCATCCTAGTGACGTACACACTTTCCACAGACACCACTGGAAATTAACCCGGTGTCTACAATGCCTGACAGTAGCCTGCCTGTAGTGTGCTTGAACTCACCCAAGCCCAGTCCATCCACACCACTTGAAAGAGAGCTTGGACCCAGGCTAACGGATCCTGCTGGGCCTTCAGCTTCCTCTCTGAAAATGTCTCAGAGCCTTGAACAAGCTTGTACTGAAGCACACGCTCGTAGATAAGCACTGTAGGCAGTGAACAAGACCACCGTGAAGTACAGGCTCAGACCTTTGCTTGACTGTGTTTGCAAAGTTACGTGCAAAGCAAGGGGAAGAGGCTGGACTGCAGGTTAGCACCCATGGGCGAAGTAAGGAGAGCCAAGTCACACACAGCCAGCCTTCTGAGCAGGACAGCTCTGCTTTGTGCCCACTTACCACAATGCTTCTTGCTAGCAAAAAACACCTGCATGACTAAAGGTGTGAATGCTCTTTACGGGTGCAATAATACTGTATAGTGGAATAATTCCTGAGTTGTTTTTGACAAAGTATTTCCCAAGAAATAGACAACCTAGGATAGCTCCAGTAGGGGAGATAGGTGCCTCAACAGGGTTTGCTAACATCTTCCACAGAGTTCCTTTCTTAAAGTCCCAATTGCTGAACTCAGGAAATCGTGTGTGAAAATTTAGTGGCCATTCAAAAACTGTCTAAACTCAGTTAAAGAAAAATCTTGTAGAAGTCTGGTGCATGTAAGTGGCCAAAACCCGTGCGGCAGCTCTCCCACCCCAGCTCTCCCACTCACCTGAGGCTTCAAAGACAATGGGAGAAGAGGAGTCAGGATTTTCCTCTGGGACTTTGTACTCAGTTACATCATCCAAGTTCCCATCATCTCTGACGCTGATACTCCTCAGCACGAGGGTAGCAGGATGCTTGGAGGACGAGCCGTCGGGGAAAAGCAGCAAGCCTCTCACATCGTCCTCCACATAGGAGCAGCCCAGGGCGATGTCCACCCTGCGAAACGCAGGCGCTGGTGTGGGCGATTGCACTGGCCCTTTAGGGAGGGAAAAGAACCGGTTGAATGCATGAACCACACTGCAAAGAAAAGCGAATGAGTTTCTCTGGGGGTAAATACTCAGGAGGCTGGGGTCTGGCTGCCACTTTGGGGTTGTTCTC